GGGAGTCAGATGGAGAGTTCTGACGGACGAGGAGAGTCTCAGTGACCACAAGGCGATCCTGATGGAGGCAGGAATGACGGACAGGGGTAAGACGCAAAGCAGATACGTACAACGAGCAGATCCAGAGTTGTTCCGCATGAACCTTCAAAGAGCGCTAAGTACTGATAAGGATAGGAATCCCAGCAAGACCATACAAATAATATGAGAGGCCTACCGACGATCCTACAGTAATCTCCGAGCCAACGGGGAGGGCAAACTCCCGTACTGGTGGACGGAAGACATCCAGAAAGAAATCGTAAAGACAAGATTAGCAAGGAGAACATATCTAAGGGAAACGGTAAATGAAACAAGAAGGCAAGAACTTCAGGAGACGTACAGGGATGCAAGAAGACTGGTATCCAGGCTAATACAAAAGGCAAGAAAGATCAAATGGCGGGAACTTTGTGACGCCTTGAACCATGATATTTTCGGTGATGCGTGGAGGATCATACGGGAGCAGCTCCAATGTAATGGACCGATACTTTGGCTCAGAGCAGGAAAAAAGCTAAAAACGTTTGAAGAGCTGTTCCTCACGGGAATATGCGCGACTTTGCCAACGACAGACAGGACAGGAAATCCCATGGTGGTGACTATGGAAGAACTCGATTATGCGGTGGGTAAAATCAAGCTAGGAAAGGCCCCCGGACCTGATGGAATGCTGCCTACCCATGCCAAGATGATAATGACAGAACAAAAAGAATTGTTTAGAGAAGTGTTTACGCAGTGCTTGCAGGATGGACGGTACCCTGATGAATGGAAAACCTGTAGTCTGATACTGCTTGAGAAGCCCACTAAAGCAACTGACACCACAAAAAAGTACCGGCCCATATGCCTCCTAGATGTAATGGGAAAGGTGTTTGAGACCATAATCAACACCAGGCTGAAAGAGGAAATAGACCGCACCGGAGGTTTCAGTGAAAACCAGTATGGTTTCCGAAAGGGCAAGTCCACGGTGGACGCACTCAAAAAAATTGTCGACACGGTGCAGCAACATCGCACAGATATAGTGGCCATGATAAGCATTGACGTTAAAAACGCTTTCAACAGGGCAAATTGGTCGATAATAATTAAAAAGCTGATCAGTAGGGGAGTAGAGCCAGCGTTGGTAAAAATCATTAAATCGTACCTGGCAGAGAGACGAATAAATGTTGATCGAAGAACATCACGCGTTGTCAGTGGCGGAGCCCCGCAGGGATCGGTGCTCGGGCCGACTCTGTGGAACGTACTATATGACGACGTTACAAAACTCGAGGTACAAGATGGAACGGACCTCATCTGCTACGCGGATGACCTAGCAATACTGATTAGGCATCCGTGGCAAGAGGAAGTAATATCGATGGGAAACGCTGCTTTACATGAAGTTCAGTTATGGATGAGAAGAAACAAGCTGGACATGGCCCCGGAAAAGACTACTTCAATAGTATTCAAATGGAGCTGTAAGAATCGCCGAGAGATCTCTTTCGTGTGCGGGGACCATGTTATTAAGCCAGAAAAATCTGTAAAGTATCTCGGAGTCACATTAGACTACACATTAAATTTTTCATGCCATGTACAGGTGGTCATCGAAAAGGCGGATCGAACCTTCAAAAGCATGAGCGCGCTACTCCCGAACATCGGAGGGCCCAGAAGTTCGAAGAGAAAAGTTATGGCCACATGCCTCCAATCGATTATAACATATGCCGCACCGGTGTAGAGCGGGGCTCTCGACATTGAGAGAAATAGAAAAAAACTAACGTCGTGTCAGAGGACGGTTGCACTTCGGTGTATACACGCGTACCACACTGTGTCGGCGGACGCGAGTTTGGTGCTGGCTGGGTTGATCCCCCTGGCGCTAATAGTAAAGGAGCGGA